CCTGTTGATTTATGTTAGCCTCCATTGTTTTTTATTATAGAGTCCAGATATTCAGTTTGTTCCATTTTCAATTTGTTTATCATTTATTGTTATTTTTAGGTGACAGCCAGTTTTGTCTGTTGACATTATATCATGAAACACTGTGTGCATTTACGACAGGACGTCAGTAAATAAGTGACAAATGTTTATGGGATGGGAAGAGAATGTAGTTGGTGGTTTCTAAAAGTGTCATTAGGTGACAGCAATATGGAACTTTATCTCCGTTCATTAGGTGGCTCTAGGTGTTGCATGCGCACTCGCAACACAGAAACAAAATGGTGACTGTATCCACAGTGTACCCTCAAAGAACAACTTGCTGTTGTGCATTTTCTTTTTTATTGCAAAAGGACTGCCTGCAAAGGACATTCATAAGTAAATGCTTCCTGTTTAAGCTGACAAATGTTTATCCTGCAAAGCAGCGCATAGCTGGTTACAACAACAACAAAATTCTCCAGGACGCTCTAAATATAAAGGGACAGTTAATGTGTAAAAGTAAACAATTTTCAAGTTATAATCTTTACTTTTTTTTTTTTTAAACAACCAATTGTGACTCACTAATTTGACTTCCCCATCCTACAAGGAAACTGTAAACTCTGCATGGCCTCTTGCCACAGACCTGTATGTATGCAGAGCCTGTCCAGGGGACCAGTCTGGAATTCCTGAATGCCACCTTCGACATACGTGAAGCCTTCTATTGCATTACTGTAATGTCATTTACGCCATCAACTGTAAGAGATGTGCCATGAAATACATCGCTGAAACAAGTCTATGACTGGCTGACAGGTTGAGACATTTTTTGGATGTGCAGAACGGTGTCCATGATATGGAGGTGACAGCCATTAAATCTAGCCACTCCAGCTACAAGAGTCCACAAGTCTCTTGAAAAGCGCTTTATTTACTTTTGGAAACTTCAACACCCAAAGGACCGAACTATCAGTTTCATCTAAAATTCTCGAGTTACGGCCCTTGGCATTCCACAGGTATTTATTCTCCGATTCAGTTTGTTCTTTTCATTGAACTAAGACATCCACATGGCTGCATCTAGATAAGTGAGTATTTTGTGTATTCGTGTGGTTTTGTTTGATTTATGCATGTGCTGACGAAGGCTCTATAGTCGCACTGTTCACATTTCGTATGTGTTTGTTATATTGTGAAGCTCGCTGATATACTTTTTATTCGGTTTTATATCTTTCCATAAACTTTGCTAAGTCCCTCAGCATCATCAAAGACAAACAAAAGCTTAAGCTCAAATCTGGCCCATATGATGTACAAATGAGGAGCGCCTGGCCAAATGGTTGAGAAGACTGGGCTTTCATGCTGGAGACCCAGGTTCAATTTCTGTGTAGAGTCATGGATACTTTTCTGTTGTGTGCAAAAATTCTAACCTGCAGTCCAAGGTTGCAGCACTAGCCATGTAGTCCAAGGTTGCAGCACTAGCCATGCGGTCCAAGGTTGCAGCACTAGCCATGCGGTACAAGGTTGCAGCACTAGCCATTCGGTACAAGGTTGCAGCACTAGCCATGCAGTCCAAATTTGCAGCACTAGCCATGCAGTCCAAGGTTGTAGCACTAGCCATGCAGTCCAAATTTGCAGCACTAGCCATGCAGTCTAAGGTTGCAGCACAAGCCATGCGGTCCAAGGTTGCAGCACTAGCCATGCAGTCCAAGGTTGCAGCACAAGCCATGCGGTCCAAGGTTGCAGCACAAGCCATGCGGTCCAAGGTTGCAGCACTAGCCATGCAGTCTAAGGTTGCAGCACAAGCCATGCGGTCCAAGGTTGCAGCACTAGCCATGCGGTCCAAGGTTGCAGCACTAGCCATGCAGTCTGAAAATCCTCCATCTCAAAGAACCCCCTTCCTACACTGAAAAAGTGGTAGATACAAGTGGTAACTGGCAGGTGCACGAGCTAGACAACTCAGTGATGGTAAATGCTTCAGTGTATCTACCATCCTCTGTCCACACTGCTAAAGAACTACGGGCTCTCATAAACTATCTTTCCACTAGTAATCACTGAATTCCACTGGGTGTGTTCTTCATCTCTAATGTGGATCAATAACTCTGCCACAGTTGGTTCAAGGTCCTGTTAAGTGAACTGAAATTGGACATAGAGTTTTTGAGAACAATAGTTTTATCAAAATATCACATGACAGAGGACTGGAAATTCATGAAATGAATGCTTGATTCCAAACCAGGCTTTAAAAGACGATTGGACAGTCTTTATCAATAATGCCTGCTCATACTAGACATTAAGAAAACCAGGATTGTAAAAATCCGCTCCAAACTATCATCTGAAGATAAACCTATTATTCATATGTTACTTTAATTAGTTGATTCACTTCTACCTTGGGATGTAGAGGTTTGCCAGAGAGACGGCCACATTCATTTGTTATCACTGTGATAAACCTCAAGAAAAATAATAACATTACAAAACCAAAAGTTTATTCAGCATGAGTTATACATTTATTATACATACAAATAAGTAACTGATGTTTACAATAAATACATAAAAGGCACCTGGAAACACCCGCCTACATACACGGTAATGGAATATGCATAGAGACAGTTAAGCATATACCATCAGTATCACAACACAAATGGCCTATTAATCTCTTCTATTTAACTGCTACTGACAGAAAGTGTACTCAAACCCTCCCCCCTCACGGTGATGGAAGATGCAGTTTCCAGAAAACCAAGCAGAGGCTGACCTCAGCAAAGGTGGATGCAGGACACTGCAGATGCACCGGCTATGAGAGCACAGAGGTGGACTTTCTGTAAAGGATAATCTGACTGATTGATCAAGTTAAAAACAACAAAATCATTTTTTATAATTCAATAAAACTCTACCCTAAGAACTAAATGAAGAGAAGAAACAGCATCACAAATTTTGACTTGTGGTCACTTTTGATAAATATCCAAAAGATCAGACCACGGAGAAGACGGGCAAGCTGCAAGCCCTCCACTTCTTGAATGAAACAAGCCAACAATCAACAGATTTCCTTCCTTCTGACCATATTTTGTCGGCCCCAAAATAATATCTACAAAATTGCAAGGGGTAAATACAATCATACAACCATGTCTACACACTGTGTAGAAGCAGCCAGTACCAAAGTTTGCAGGGCACTGTCCAAAGACATCACATCAATGAAACCCCATAAAAGCCAGAAACACACCCTTCTTGAAGCTGCAGGAGTTAAGAGTCAGGCATTGACAAAGTTGATGTGAGGAAAGAGAAATTATTTTAGCTTGCTAAAATGTGCTTGTGCAGCAAAGATTTAGTTTACAGAAGAATGCTCGATGTGTTTGGAGAGACAGAGACACTGTTTTGCAGAAGATGTAAATATTGGGTATTATAGAAAATCCAAGGGTTACACAGAAGAATAACTAAAATACCTTCTCCGACAGTCACAGCTGCATTAGCATAGTGACTTGATGCTCATTTGTAGGCCCACAATTCTTGGCTTCGAATCCGAACAAATTCAAATGAGGTTTTTTTTAAAATAATATATACAGATACTGTGGTAGAGCAGTTGCTATTGGTTCAGTGGTCTTGTGTTCCAATCCTCTTCAAGAACACATTTTTTTTTTAAAAACTGACTGGATTCGACCCAGCCTAAAATTGGTACAAGAAAATATCTCTGGAAGTAAAAAGTGACTTTCCATTTGCCAACAGAATGCCAACAAAAATTGGGTTAGCGAAACATATCCATTAATTCTCACAGTAGGGAAGAAGTTCCTTCACATTATTATATGGTACCCGAATCCCAAAATGATATGAAAATAGATTATCTACATAGTTATTACACGGTACTAAGATTATCTACATAATTATTACACAGTACTAACAGAAAATAATATTTTATTGGGGTGGACAAATTCTAAAGGTGTGTAAAAAAAAAAAAGGTGTAAATAAAAATGCACACGGACATCATACATCCTAAATTCTGACCGGAAGATATATGTCCAGATTATCTACAGTCTGTGAATGTGAGAACAGAAAGTAATGTCTGGGTGTAAATTATTTAACTGTCAAGTCTCAACAGGAGATAGTGTTTGTGTGCGTACATTATCTGCATGTTTTAGTATCCCAATGGTAATGAGTGTGTAGATTATTTACATATTTTACATGTCCTAGCAGAAGGTAATGAGTGTGTAGGTCATATACATGTTTTACATTCTCAAGTAATGTGTGTGTAGATTAGCTACATGCTTGAATGTCCCAACAGAAGATAATGAACGTGTAAATTAGGTTATTGTTTGATATGTCCCAACAGAAAGTAATGCATGTGTAAATTAAGTTCATGTTAGACATGTCGCAACAGAAAATAATGTGTGTGTAAATTAGGTTCATGTTTGACACATCCCAGAAGAAGATAATGTGTGTGTAGATTATCTACGTTTGACACATCCCAGAAGAAGATAATGTGTGTGTAGATTAGGAAAGTTGTATGTGTGTAAATTATGTATGTTTTTCAAGCATTAAAAAAAATAGTTGTGTATCTTCTACAGGATGTTGCAGAACCAACCCCAGCATTTGTTAGCTGTTGCACTTTTTTAGGCAAATTTTAAGTTCAGTAGTTTGCCACTGCTGTAGAATGTAGACTATGTATATGTTCACATGTGTGCATGCATGTGGGTCTACATTAAAGGCTTTAAGAGTAGATGAGTGTGTAGATTATTTAGTTTTCAAGTGTCCAATAGTAGACAGTACACATGTATGTAGATTATCACACTGTCATAAAATCCCCCAACAGATTAGAACATTTGCGTAGATTATCTACAGTTTTCAGGTGTCACAACAGAAAAATGTGAAGAATATCTACATTTTCTGTACGTCATAACACAAGAGAAGACATGATGTACACTAAGCAAGATAACCCCAGCAGAGGCTAAGACAACCTCAGCAAACAAACAATAAATGTCGGGTATTATGTACAAGCGGAGTCAGGCAGCCCATCAGGCTAATCACGACTGCCTCAGTAGGATGGAGTGCTCCAGGGCTGCCTGCTGCAGAACTGGCAGGAGAAGCTGGAAAGCATCCTGGATGTAGGTGCTGCTGTTGGTGGCCTGTGGGAAATCAAGAAGGAGGCTGTAGCTAATTCTGTTTTATTACATGTACAGATTTTGTAGCCTTGTTTTGTGTGTACTGATGGATGTTGTATTGGGTATTATCATGTGATATGTTACCATGAGTATGTTGGTTTATGGCTCACTTGGGGGGGGGGGGGTGGGGGGGGGTGGGGCGGGGGTCAAGGGGGAGGAGGTGTTCCCTCTTAAAAAGGCAGGTGCAATGTTGTGTGGTTTACAACTAGGATGCAATATCTTCACCTCTCAGTCCAGCATATCTGGTTTCAACAAATTCCTAATTAGTCATCTTTTATGACGTATTTGTTAGGATTCGGTTTGGGGAGGGGGTGGTTGAGGAATTGTACTCTTTGTTGGTTACTGAATTAAGGGACAGAGCACGTGGTTGGCAATGTCCCGATTGTAGAGAGGTCAATTCCTCATTCATTCATTCATTCACGATTAAATCTCTCATATACTGAATCCATTTATACTGTGACATTCCTCTTCCCCACTTTTCAAAATTTTTGTTGTTTAACTACTTAAATTTTTTTTTTTGAAAGGGGGGGGGGGGGGGGGGGGGGGGGTCTCAGATTTTTAATATTGAGCTCTCATTGTATAGATCTGTTATACTCTTTGTGTCCAAAGAATTTGTATAACTCTTCTGTCCCATTTTTTGCTACAGGGGAATCACATTTTTGTTTTAACTTTTTTAAGCTGATTTGAGTTAAGCTGAGTCGAGTTAAGAACTGACATCATAGTACAAAGAACATTCCTATGATCACTCAGTCCCCATCTTCAGCAACCTCCATCATCATGCTGCTGGTTGTCATGGAGAAGGCGCCGTTGGCTTCTTTAACTGTTCTGCCCGTTGAGCGTGCTGTGAATGCCCATGCGCTTCTTTTTTGGCTCCTTCTGCTAATAGCACCAGTTGCAACTTGATTAAAAGTCTGCCTATGTTTCTCCCTTAGTGTTGAATATCTTCCAGAACCCCTACTTGATCCCTGTTGTGTGTGGATTCTCTGTCTGTTCTACTGCACTGTCTATTTGATCCCAGAGAGCCTTCACAACATCCACTTTATCATAAAGTAGCTCATGGCCCAGAGGATTGACAGCAGCTAACCTATCACCTTGCTCATTACCTCGAACAACTGAAGTCCTAGAAAGAAAATCCATGATATGCTTCTGATGTGAGTCTTATCAAGTGATGGACAGGACGCTATTTTCAATTTTATGAAGCATTCTCTGCAAGTCCGTTACAAGTCAGACAGTTGATCTCAAGCTATCAGAAAGTTGCCATTACTAACTCCACCTCACTTCTCATACTGGGTCACTGATAGTTTGTAGGCATACAAGCTTTCTCATCAACTAATAAACATGCGCAATTGGATAACTATGTATTTCACTACACTCAGAGAAAAGGCAAGACAGTAATATAACCAGATTCTGACTAGTACCATCAGTATTGGAACTCTGGCTGCTGAAGATGAGGACGGAGCACACATGGGATTGCCCAGAGTGCTGTGATGCAAATTCTTGACTCAACTCCACTCAACATTTCTAATTTTGAACAGTATATTTATCAGTGCTCTCAAAAATAAACTCAAACAGTAAGGGTAAAAGAAAACATTTGTTACCTCCAGGTAAACATTTGTTACCAGTGGTGTTACCTCATCTGTGCGTTCAGCTTGACCCTGCAAATTGTATATTAGTATTAGAAAACATATAATCGACTGGAAACTACATTTTTATAGAGCCTACACGTGCACACAAATTCTGAGTCTGTCCTCTATGTAAGAAAGGATAGATGTACGTGCGTGTGTGTGTGACTAGTTATGTTTGTGTGTGTACATATGTTTGTCTATTTATGTAGTATATCTGTGCGTGCCTGTGCAGTTATTATTTGTGTGTTTCTATATCTGTGTCTGCTTCTGTATGTGTATCTCTATGTGTGTCCCTGTGTGCATGTATGTATGTGTGTGTATCTCTATGTGTGTCCCTGTGTGCATGTATGTATGTGTGTGTATCTCTATGTGTGTCCCTGTGTGCATGTATGTATGTATGTGTGTTTGACTACAGATCTTTTTCCCTATCAGACAAACATAGTTTAGTTAAGAACTGATAACACAGCACACATGACTATCCCATAGATATGTCATCCCAATCTTCAGCAGCTAGTGGAGTGTTTTGATTTTGATGGTAACAGCAGTCTGACTGTATACCTGTCTTGTCTTTCCACTGAATGTCTTTCCATTGGTGACTCCCTACTAAGCCAGTTTGAGTTGATAACTTGTTTGAACAACAGATCAACATCACGTCACAAGGGTAGTAACCCATAAGTGCTCCGTTCTACTTCCAACTCAAGCCTGACTAATCTCAGCACAGTGCATGAACTCTGCAGCACCGGCGAGGATCCTGAAATACTTTGAGTAGAATTGTAACTCCAGATTTCCAACTGTTGAGGAATTTTTTTTTTAATGTGTGCAACAATACTCACGGGCGTCCAATCTTACTACCCAGAGACCAGGGGAAATTACTAAAGTCCAAGTGAAAAAATCCCAGCCTTCACAGGGGCCTGAAACCGGGACCTCCAACTCTCAAGGCGGACGCCACACCTCGAGACCACTTAGGCCCCCCCCCCCCCCCCATAGTCTATACAGATCATGATGACCTATTTGTACTGTCACACTGTTACCAGTGGTTCAGAGGATGAAGGGATTCACAACCAACCAATCAATGGTGATTCAGACAATGAAGGCATTCACAACCAACCAATCAGTGGTGGTTCAGACAATGAAGGCATTCACAACCAACCAATCAATGGTGATTCAGACAATGAAGGCATTCACAACCAACCAATCAGTGGTGGTTCAGACAATGAAGGCATTCACAACCAACCAATCAATGGTGATTCAGACAATGAAGGCATTCACAAACAACCAATCAATGGTACAAGATGGGGGACTGCACAAACAACAAACCAATGGTGAAATAAGGGGGGATTCACAAACAATCAATCAATGGTACAAGATGAGGGATGGGAATAGGGGGGGGGGGGTGAATAAACAACTAACCGATGGTAAAATAAGAGGGGATTCACAACTCGCCTACCAACCTATGGTAAAAGATTATGGGATTGACGAATTACCAACCAGACAATAGTAAAACATGAGGGGGATGGACAAATAACCAACCAAACAATAGTAAAAGATGAAGGGATATTAACAGACAACCAACCAACAAATGGTAAAAGATGAGGGACTGACAAATAACAAACCAACCAATGTTAAAAGATGAGGGAAAGACAAAAAAAACCAACCAACCAATGACGAAACATAAGGGGACTGACAACCAATCAATTAATAGTAAAAGATGAGAGGGATTCACAAATAACCAACAAATCAATGGTACAAGATGAGAGGATGAATGATCAACCAACCAATGGTTAAAGAAGGGATTCACAAGTGACCAATCAACTAATGAGATACTATATCATCAATAATTTTAACATTCTTAACTGACAAATATTTGGAATGACAGAAGATAACAGAAATGAAAACATTAAACAATAACTGAAACAAATACATACAGCCATTTTGTTGAGAATTTCTACAAATTTGCTGGCCAAGTTGCCGATTTCATGGCACAGGACGCCAGTTAGCCTGGAAAATAATGCAAGGGTGAGCATTTCTTGAACTGTTATCAACAAAAATATCTTCATCCTCTTCTTCTTCTTCAGGAACTTAGATCAGTCCACATGCACTGCCAATAGAATACGTTTTTTCTTCTTTGTTCTCCTTATGTTAGCTGCTGTAGTATAGTGGCTAGATGCTTGCCTGCAGATCCAAAGGTCTGAGGTTCAGATCCTGATGAAGCCGTACATTGTCAAGAATTACTTTGTCTCACAGGTTTACCCAGCCTTCAATGGGTACCAGGGGAAAAGTCCTGGGAAGTAAAGGTGGCCGGTGTGGTGTTAATCAGATCACCCATCAAGGCCTCATTGGTCTAAAAAATATAGGTCTAGCCCAATATGCCTGAAGGAAAAGGGTCCTTTACTTTGCCACATGTTTTCTGACAGATCATCATGACTGCACCCTGAACCATTCAGTCTATATGTGCTTGGATCCCCTCCCAAGTAAATCATGTAGCGGCTGATGAGCTGTGCTGTGTTGGTTTCTTATTCTTGTTTGGCTTCCTGCATAGTGCTCTTGTCTGACCACACCCCTTTCAACTTGCTGTTCTTCCAGTCTGGTCATTGTTGCAGATTCAGTCACTTGGTTCTGGCAAATCTCTTACTTCTCGTACAGAGCTTAGTATATTAGCCTGGTCCACAGCTCGTCCACCCTTCACAACCATATTATTTTAGCAAGGGAAGTAATTCAGACATGCAAGGCTTACGTGCAAGGCTGTTTGCTCACTTCCATGCATACCTGTGTACCCTTGCACACCCTGACCACCTCAGAGACACTAACACACTGTCTTGGACCCAGCCCATCACTATCTTCCTTCTCCTCATGTACAGTTCCCCACTACCGTGAGCACGATCTGGCAGGTAGAGGCAGGCTGTGCACACAGACAGTGGACTGAGTCGTTAAAAAAACGTCCCTGTGTGTGGAGTTACTTAATCTTTATCATACAGTATGCGGGTGTTGCTGTTAATGAAAGCTGATGAGCTGGCCAGCTCAGCCTTAGTTGCAGAAGGTCGGCCTACAGATTGCGCCGACCGACACTTGATGAGAGATATGATGATAGGAGGATTTTGGGAGCAGCATGTCCACATTGCTGCTAAAAACATGAGAACTGAGACACATCGGACCTTCGAAAAGTCTCGTCAACCAGGACATGACTGGCACATCGGACCTTCGAAAAGTCTCATCAACCAGGACAATACTGGCACATCAGACATACGAAAAGTCTCGTCAACCAGGACAATACTGGCACATCGGACGTACGAAAAGTCTCGTCAACCAGGACAATACTGGCACATCGGACGTACGAAAAGTCTCGTCAACCAGGACAATACTGGCACATCGGACGTTACGAAAAGTCTCGTCAACCAGGACAATACTGGCACATCGGACGTACGAAAAGTCTCGTCAACCAGGACAATACTGGCACATCGGACGTACGAAAAGTCTCGTCAACCAGGACAATACTGGCACATCGGACGTACGAAAAGTCTCGTCAACCAGGACAATACTGGCACATCGGACGTACGAAAAGTCTCGTCAACCAGCACAAGACTGGCACTATTAACCATGGGGCATGATGAATATGTTGAAATGGAAATCCGAGCACCCATGGAGGTGTCCAGAGTGCTATAAAGATAACCACACTCACAGCTAACTCATGTACAACTTGTGTATGCAACTGAATTTCCAACTGAAATCAACTTTATTTTACCGACTGACTACAACAATCACAAGTTATGCAATTGACCGACAGTTACGCCAGACTACTTTGATCACATCACCTGCGA